ATGGATGAGTTGCATAGCTTAGATAGACGTGGCAAGACATATACAGATTGGCTGGTGAGGCATCATGAGTGGGTCGTGTTGTGGGAGAATCGACATCGGCGCCTTCCACGTAAAGAACCCATTTTTACTGAATTCTTTATGTATGCTGAGGATTATTATGAGTGGTTCAACAGTAACGGGAAACCGTTTCTACTTCCCGAGGACGCACGAGGGCAGAACTTTCCAAGACGTCGACAGAGACGTTCACCAATACAACACCATCGTTCCCCGACTCGTGGACGGAGAGCAAGTGCTTCCGGTTCATCCTCAGCTGCACCAGCAGGACCTTCACAGCAGCCATTGCAGCCATTTATGATGCCACAACCATATATGATGCCGCAACCATATATGATGCCACTATCGCCTTTCCATTACCAGATGTCACCGCCACCGCCTTCACCTGGTTTTATGACCCCGTCGCCGCCACCGTCATAGATGACACCTCCTGGAGGCTATTATGGGTCTATGTTTTTAGATCCGACTTGGGGTTCATATGCTAGATATTTGGCAGGTTCATCCTTATCACCCATGGCCGCAGCACAGACACCTCCTGTACAGTTTTCACACTCAGCGATGTCTGGGTTTTCCCAGTTTTCGCAGGCCGGTGGGATAGTCAGTCATACACCTCCAGGGTCCTTATTCTATGGAGGTGCTTCATCGTCATCAGCTCCTCATCAACCTAATGTGCCTGCTCAGGACGACGACGACGACGATGATGATGACAGCGAGGAGTCAGAACCAGTGTTACGAAGAAATCCTCCTCGAGACCGACAACCACCGCCCTGCGGAACACATTCACGATGCAATCATCGATAGATTTTTTTATTATATTTGTATTTACTTTATTTTGTTTAATTGTAATTTTTTATTATTTCTCATTTAATACTTACTTTATTTTGTTAAATTTGTTGGACTTTTTTTTAATATATTTCAGTTAATTTTGTTTATTACCATTTAATATCAGTTATTGTAATTTGGTTATCATTTACCATTTAATTCTTATTGTAAGTTTGTTGTATTTAAATACCAAATTGTTATTAGGTTGATAAAATTTAATGATTGTGTTCGTTTTTTTAATCTTCATCAGTGATTATTGAATGACATTAACTTGAAGTAAATGCAAATTAAAATACAAAAATTATTATTTGATAAACAAATACATAATTTCCTCATCAATTGTTACTTGATGACAACAGAAGTGGACATGTTTTTCTAGTGTGTCCTGGGTTTCTACAATGTCCACATCTTCTGTCTTGTCTAGATCTTTCTCAAATATCCATATCACAATGAATTCGATTGGATTTTGGACAACCACACTCCCTCAATAAACTCAGATTTGGTACAATCGGAAGCTAATCTTGAACTTTATCAGGGTCTTTGTCATTACCTATGGGGGGAAACTCAAATTCGTATACCTTAAAAACTTCATATAGTAGGTATACGAGATCCACAAAATGGTTATAGTCTTGACGTGTATGCGAGCAAGCTGCTATCACATGAGAGCATGGATACTTCAGAGCTTGAAAAAACCCGCAGTCGCATGTTCTGTCCCTTAGATTTACTCTTAATGACACATCTTACATCCCTTGAAGAGGTCGCGGCAACTCTGTGACACGAAACATTTCATGCCTTCTAGAGAAGCTTGTTACAGACATTCCATTTGATGCATCAATTTTTTTCTGTAGATCTACAACTAATCTAGGGTGATAGACATGACCGCCTTGCATCCAAGTTTGAGCTTGTCCCCCGAGCTTCGCAAAAAGCTCCCCCAAACGAAAATATATAATTTTTACCAAACCGCTACAGGTAAGTGACGTGCACCCTTTAAGGTTGAATTGATTGCCTCAGTCAAGTTGGTCGTCATGTGTCCATATCGATATCCACCATCATATGCGTTCGTCTATATTTCTTTATCGATGAAGTTGATGTAATCGTATTCTTCCTCGTTCTTCTCCCGTAAATCTTGAAGCATTGATTCAAACGTTCGAGGAAGTAGTTCGTAACCTAATCAAAAAATGTATAACTCACTAACTTGCTTTCTTTGCAAAATTAAAATGATCAAAAAATGTATAACTTACTAACTTGCTTTCACTTACCCATGCACACAATTAATTGACGCTCATCATTCTTCTTGTACCTTCCATGATAGTTCACAACAATGTGTCGGAGACAATACCTATGTTGGACAAAGGGCGGTTGCCACATTGAACCCAAAGACTTTGCTGCTTTGATCCCAGCTCCGCGATCTGAAATGACACAAATGTTTTCCCTCGTGATAACATGTGCACGTAAATTTCGGAGGAAAAAAGCCCAAGAATCTGTATATTCTCCTTCGACAAGAGCAAAAGTAACGGGAAGAATGTTTGTGATTGCCATCTTGGACAACTGCCAATAATAAAACTTGCTTGTATTTTCCATACAAAAAAGTCTCGTCGATCTGGACCACAGGCTTGCAGTATTTGGCAGCATTAACGCACTGTGGGTAACTCCAAAAAACCCGGTAGAATTGGCTTCGATCGCGAAGAACTCGATCATTATGGTATGCATAGGAGGTTTCGAAGTCCACAATTGTCCGAGGATTCAATGTCCGCACCAGCCTAAACCAACCTGGAAGTTCGTTGTAAGATGTATCCCATTCGCCATGAAGTTTGACAATGGCATTTTTGTTTTGCCAACCAAGCTTTTTTATAGGAGACAGTGTACCCATACTGCGATTGTATAGCTGAAATCAACACTGCAACAGCTATATGAGAGCTTGCTTTTACCATGGGCATGATGGCTTGGCATATCATTTCAGAGTCCAAGTTGGGATGATCTTGGTTGACCCCTCTAGCACAACATGTGTGAGGACCGTTGTATACTGTTAGTTCCCATATGTTGTTTTTCCTCTTCATTTTCGATACGCGAACCATCCAATTGCATCTGTTTTCGAGTCAGGCACAGTAGCATACATATTTTTTTGTCGTCGATCGGTTGACTCTGGACTGAACAGAATTACGGATATTGTAATTTTTTTATAGCCATCATTGCTTCTTCTTTGCTTGAAAACTCCATGCCTAAAGATAACTCACCATTATTTATTGATGAGTAATATCCATAGTCACCGAGATGTGGCATATCCACAAATTATGGCATGTACATTGCACCATAATCAGCTTCATACATGTGTGCAGGAGGGTCAGTTTGTGTCACATTTCCTGGAACTTCATCTACATCATCATCATCAGAGTTGAATTACGGTGATTCTGGGTGAATGAATAGTCCAGTCTCAGCACCATCCGCACCAGGCTCACGAAGCGGTTCTTTTGGTGGAGATGATGGTTCCTCCATGCGCTCCACATTTAGGTCGAAGAACCTACTACTTGCATGTCTTCCCCTTAAACTAGAAGGCATATCGACATTGAGATCGAAAAAGCTCGCAGTCGAATGCCTCCCCCTGGAGCTTGAAGCCATCGTGTCAAATGGAAACTGCACAGATTGTTGCGTTGATGACATCTCTATATTAAGGTCAAAGAAATTTGCAAATGAATGTCTTCCCCTTGAACTGGACGCGGTGTTGACATACGGATTGTTCGTGGACCCACCTCGGTACATATCGTAAGGAGTTGTGGATGAATGTCTTCCCATTATGGCATTAAAATCATTACACATTACTGTAGTCGGGCTGTCAACTTGATCAACTTGTTCAGCCAGCCCATAGTGGGAGTTTAATGATTGACCCCGAATAGTACGCACTTGAACAAAATGTTCATACATCTCAATAACAGCGTCTGAATAATTACTTTGAGCTTCAACCATCATTTGAATATCATCATTGTTCGAAAGTTTGAACGCTGTATTAGTTAATGGCAACAATGATGTTGGAAATCTGTACTGCAACGACGACATTCTTCTACTACTTTCAACATGAATCTTCCTCGAAATCTTCGTTATCAGCTCCTCAACAGTTATGTTTCTCTTGAATGATATTTAAACACGCTCATTTGATACGAAAACAACGCCGGTTTCATCTTCTCGAATTTCACCATCATAATAAACAATAGCTGAAAGTCGCACCATTCTTTGAGTTTAAAAGTGCGGCAATATTATATCTGCAAAAAAATAACTAAAACAAACCTGATTAAATAAATTATATATGAATGAAAATATAACACAATAAATTTTTTACACATCAACGTAAATAATTTAAATAATATAATTTTATATTATTACCTGCGCCGCAAACTATTTTGACGTATGCTCCCGTTTTTCAATTTTACAAACATAAAAATTAATTGAAAATAATTAGTATAATATTTTTTCAACTAATGATAATAAACAATAAGTATAATTAAAAAATTATAACAAAATTACCTTATAACAAAAAATCGCACGAACTTCTAAATCAAATATGAGAAGATTGCCAGAATTATTACTCGTTGACGGAATTGTTGTATTAATTTATAAGTTGAGAGGAGAGATGTGAGGAGATGTGAGAAATTTAACCGGCGGAGGAGTGTATTTATAACCATATAAGGCGCGGTACCTGCACCGCACTATATGTAATTATTCAGATAAAAAGATATAGCGCGGAGCAGGGACCGCGTTAAATATAATTCACCCCTACGTGGCGTATAGCGCGGCCCCTGATCCGCGCTATACCCCTACGTGGCGTATAGCGCGGATCAGGGGGCGCGCTATACACACGTGTAAACCATGTCAGCGTATAGCGCAGTACATGGGGCACGCTATACTCCATGTGACGCCAAATCAATATATAGCGCAGTTCGGAGTGTGCGCTTTACTGCTACGGGTATTAGATCGGGAAATATAATCTGACCGGTGTTAGATCGATAAATATACCGATCACCGGTGATTTTTTTGGAAATACACGGAGATTCACTTCCATTATTTTTCTTTTTTGTTTAGTCTTATAATTTTGGGTTTTTTCTGGTGATCTCACTGAGTCCCCCCAAATAAACTTTTGGGTTTCCCTCGTCTCAGCCTAAAAACAAAACCTTATCTCCTCCTCCTCCTTTCCCCGACCATGTCTGATTCTGATCCTTACTCCAATTACTTCAATGGCTGGTTCAATCTAACCCCTTTCAACCCTTTATTTCACTCGCCATCCACTTCGAGTCCGTCTCCACTGGCTCCTGTTAGTGGCTACTACTACAATGGCTGCTCCAACACGATCTTCCATGGGAACCCTTCTTCCCCTCCACTGAAAGAAGCTCTCCCTCTTCTTCCAACAAGGTTTTATGAAGAGCAACAAGAGAGTTCTTCCATGGAAGTGGAGAAAAGAAATGGAAATGATGAAGAAACCGTCACTGTTGCTCTTCATTTGGGACTCGCACCTGCAAGCCCTACTTCTTGTGCTGCTGCTGCTGATTTGATCTCCAGATTTACAACCTCATCGTCTGCTGATATTCAACAAGACTCGGAGTCGGGCGCAGAGAAAGAAGATCATGACACTGTTAATGCTTCGCAATACCTATCGAATAGCCTCAACAAGGGTCAATATTGGATCCCAACTCCATCCCAGATTCTAATTGGACCTATTCAGTTTTCATGCCCACTTTGCTTCAAGACCTTCAACAGATACAACAACATGCAGGTAACCTTAAATCTAAAGGGAAAATAGAAAGGGAAACCCCTAAATGTTTTCACTACTTTTGAATTTTTCAGCACCTGAAGGAGAAAACCTATGTTTTCTTCTTTTTTATTTCAACACTTCACTTTTATTCTATGCCTGGTTATGATTATAAGATAGGAACATATGGGTCCTTAGGGTTTTCCTCTTTTTCTTCTTTTTTATACTTTAATGAAGTATTTCCCTTTTTTTCTGCTTTCAACACTTTGAATATAGAATACATTTTTTCTTCAATCTTTCATTTAGTCCATCCCTTTACCTTTGCATGATTTGTGGATGTTGGGATTTGAAAATGAAGAAAAAATCTAGAGCTGGTCGACTTGAGAATAAGATCACTAACTCTCTTTATGTGATTGAACAACACAAGATTTATGCTTTTTTTGGTACCTTGAAGTTTGTGTTCCACACATTGGCTGATGTCCTAGAACTGTAAGTATCCCAGTTTCCACCAAGGATTATCAGATGATTCTTCATCAAAAAGCCCTAAAACCCTTTTTTAATGAAGTTACAATTACCATTTCGTTTTCTCTTCTTTTAATGCATACAATAATAGCCGGAGAAAATACACTCCAAAAACACAATAGGAATGGAACCCTAATCAGTCCTGTTGAGAAAAAAATGGTTCTTTATTTGAAATTGTTTTCAGCAAGCTGTGTTTAGACTTATGACTGAAAGTTTTTGTTCCATGCACCATTAATGCAAGCAAATATTCTTGCAATGGAACCCATGATTTGCAGAACCCTTTTGCTTTTCTTTAAAAAGGGGACCTGTCATGATCTTTGATGAATTCAACTTTTGCTTTGCTTTTTTTTCTGAAAAAAAAAATATGTATAGATGCATATGTGGGGGCATGGATCTCAGTATAGGAAAGGGCCAGAGTCACTAAGGGGAACCCAACCGACGGCAATGCTGAGGCTGCCTTGCTATTGTTGCGTACCTGGGTGTCGGAACAACATCGACCATCCTCGGTCGAAGCCGCTCAAAGATTTCAGAACCCTTCAGACGCATTACAAGAGGAAGCATGGGATCAAGCCTTTCATGTGCAGGAAATGCGGGAAGAGCTTTGCGGTGCGAGGTGATTTGAGAACACACGAGAAAAACTGTGGGAAGCTCTGGTATTGTAGCTGTGGGTCTGATTTTAAGCACAAGAGATCTCTCAAAGATCATATTAAAGCATTCGGGACTGGGCATTCGGCATATGGGATTGACTGCTTTGATGAAGAAGATGAAGCAGGTTCCGAAAACGAACAAGACAATGAATCCTCTCAGTAACAAATATCAATAAGCCTTTATGATCCATTGTAGTTTGTAGCCCCTCCGTTTGTTTAGTTTCCTGGGTTTTCTTTCAGCTTGGTGGTACTACTAGAGACTCCTCATCTGTAATTCTAAGCAGGGAAATGTAGAAATATCATCTGAATTCAGTGTTTCGTTTAAATAAATGACTGCAGGCGTTCAACTTAGCAGCACTTAAACATGCAGAAACTGAATCTATATTTGATCATATATACATATTATATATGAGTGTGTTTGAGAGAGAAGAAGAGTAGTCTGTGTCATGTTCTTCTTCTGCTTGTGTGATTTTGGTATCAGAGATAGGAAGAGACTGTACGTGAAAAAAGAAAAAAAAAAGAGGTAAGCTAATGATGCGATAGGTCGACATAATTTAATACATGACTTGTTGGTGTGCGTGTCAAATAGTACTGGGCACTCCAAACTTGAACACAAGGAGACGAGATCTTGGTGGCAGCTTTACTTGAAAGAGTTTTGGGGGTGCAAAAAAGGGTTAAAAGATTTCCAATGAAATGTCATGTCAAAGCTTTCAAATATATTCATCAGAATACGTACTATCTGACACAAAATATATGGCATGTACTGTTTGTATACTTTGTAATAGCTCCAAATTCGTTCGTATTGTATTTATTTTATCGAACTCATTGTTCATCAACAAAAGAGACTCAGTTTTCCCATTTCGTGTCGTATTTCATTTTGTATGGTTCGAGCTGAAGAGAGATTTTGCAGTTTTTCACTGTACATGTAGATTTAGCACAACAGCGATGAAAAGGATTCATTTTGAATTTCTTGTAATGTTTTATGTTACACAGTGACCTGTCAGTTGTCCATAGCATTTTCATCCTCCTTTGACCACAGAAAATGACTTTTTAATCTGTGATAATTTAGAATCATGAGAGGTAGATACATGGCTGGAATCAAAATTGAATACTTTTAAGGGTAAATTACACATTTAGTATTTAAACTATAAGTTTTCATCCGTTTTAATACTTAAACTTTTAATTTTGTTAAAATCATACCTAACGTTTAGTTTACGTTTCATTTTAGTATCCCATCGTTAAAAACTTTAATTTTTCTTTCATTTTAGTATCCCGTTCAAAATTTAATGTTAAGTTTTGAAAAAAAAAACTAAAAATTTAGGTACTAAAAAGGAACAAAAATTATAATTTAAGTACTAAATGAGTTAAATTTTCAATGACGGATATTAAAATGAAATGAAAATTAATCATTATGTATGATTTTAAAAAATTAAAAAATTTAAGTATTAAAATGGATCGAAACTAATAATTTAGGTGCTAAATTTATAGTTTGCCCGACTTTCAAACTAGGCTTGGCTTTACTTTTTGTGCTTTGGGGTGCGAGGTCGATCATGATGGTTCCAATTCTGGCCGGGGAGAATGTTAGGGATGACCATGATTTTATGTACGGGATAAAATAAATTATTAATTGAAAATATATAAAATAATATCTAAATAATTTAAAATTTTTACGGGATAAATATCTTCACCTCACTCTTAGTCCATCTATCCCTAGTGATCGGTTGATAATACCATCGGTTTAGATCACATCTAGTTCATGGGATATGAATTATATTTTATAATAAATATTAAAATGTAACATCATTTGATATATTATTTAATTTATTTAATAATGATACGAAACTATAATATTTAGTTAGATGAATATAAAATTATCTAAAGATAAATTTATAATCGATTTCAAATATAGATAATAGACACACAATAATTACATATAAAACTGCTCATATCTGAGTCACCTAAGAAGTATTCTCTTTACTTTTGAGACCGTTTCTTAGGTTTATGCAATCCAAAATTTTAACTATTAGTATTGTATTAGTCCTGTAAATGAATCAAACGTTCAATGGAAAATTCGTTTATTTGTTAAACGAATGAAAATGAACAATATTTTATGATCACTTAATTAAATGAACGAGTACAAATAAAGAACTCGTTCACTCATTTATATTCGTGAACGTTCGATAATCCGTTCTTTTATGTTCATTTACATTCATTCGTTTATATTCATTTACATTCGTTCGTTTATATTCATTTACATTCGTTCGTTTATATTTTGTTTAATCCCTAAAACTATTTAAAATATTAAGAACTAATAAATTTTAACCTAAACCCATTAATATTTTAAAATTCAGGTAATTTTAAATAGAAATAAAAACACTCAAATCAATTAAATTAAATATAAACCTAAAGTTATTTGGAAAACAAAAATTCTTTTTAAATATAAACACAATTAATTTTATGTTTGTTTACTTTGTTTATGTTCAATTATGTTCATTCGTTTATTTGTGCTTATCTATCATTTTAACGAAAAAACTGCTACAGACATCTCTTGTTGAACGAACACGAACAAGAAATTTTATTCGTTTAATTATTCGTGTTCATTCGTTTTTTCAATTAAAATTAAACAAATGAACATAAAGATATCCTCGTTCGTATTCGTTTACATGCCTATATTGCATGGAAGTTTATTATTTCCATAACGGCCCAAGTTCCGTGATCGCATCCAAGTGTAGACTGAAGTATGGGTGATTCAATTAAAATTGTTTTTTGAAAATTGATTAAAGGATCATTTAGGCCTAGTAGACTAGAGGTATTATTAGTAGCCCTGTATTGGGATGGTCATGGCCCAAAAGATGAAGATGGGTTCATTTTGATTTTTATACATTTCTAGAGGACTTAAGAGATAATTTTACCTTTTGTTGATTTAAAGTTGATTATGATATTCTTTCGGACGACTATGGCAGCTGGTCCGGCGACAGGTTCAGGGCTCAAATCCTGGAATTTTTTCTGTAACATATTTAATCCGTATTCATACTAAAATAAAAATTTCTACGTTAATTCACATCCAACATTTTATCATTCAACTATAATTTTCAGTATCGTACATTAACTTTTTAACCTTTGCATAATAATTCTTCATTTTCTCAAATAATATAAAAATGTTATAAACAAGTGCCTTAATACAAAAATTAAGTGCCTAAACTTTACCTAAAAAATGATTTGGTACCTAAAGAATTTCGCTAAAAATTGGTGTCTAATATTTTCTAAGTTATATTTCTAGGTGCCCACCATAATATTTTTTAATTTTTTTTATAAAAATATTATTTTTCATGAAAAATTTATAAAAAACTTAATTTATTTACAAAAGAACCCCAAACTTTTAATGAAATTATAAAAAAACTCAAATAATAAAATATCTTATTTCAACCCTATTATCATGATGGAACGTCAGAGAAGAACCGACAGAGTGACGACGAGGATGGGTATTCAGCGGATTTGGATAGTGGTTCCAATGGTGGTGACGAGATTGACCAGAATCGACGAAAAACATCTACAATGGCTTAAAATCCGACGAAACTTTGAACGCTTCTCCACGATAAACGGTGGCAGCTTACGACAAAAAGCCAACGGCGATTTGATCGGGAGTCGATGTCGATTGTAATACCCCAAATATCGGGTCAGTGACTATATTGAAAGGATTTAAAATTTAGAGGATTAAATTGAATAAATGGCAAAGTATAAGAAATGATTTAGAAAATTGTGTTTAAGACCAATTAGTAAGAATGGAAGAATGAAAGGGCATTTTGGTCCTTCAGAGGAAATGAATTTAAAATTCATTTTTATTAGGGATATTTAATAAGAAAAAAAGGGGAAAATTGAGAAAGCTAAGTTATTTTTCTTCTTCTCATTATCTTCTTCCCTGTTGTCTCGTGCTCTCCCCATAGCGAAAGGTAAGATTTCTTCAAGTTGGTTTTTCCTTTAGTTTATGGGCTGGTTTTGAAACCATAAGTGATATAGAGGCTTAAGGAAAGTTCTAGGATGATTAAAACTAAGTGATTAGTGAATTATTTGAGATTTAAGAAAATGATTTTTTGAGTGATATGATGAAATATGTGTTTTTATTGAAGTTTACAAGTAAATTTGACTTGCCAAAGAATTAAATAATAGATTAGAAGCCTTGGAAGTCATTAAAAACATGTATGAAAAATTAGTGTGATTCTTAGTTTGGAGTGTTCTTTGAAGATTTTAGATGCTATAAGAATATTAATGGAGGAGAAAAGTTAGTTGGGTTAAGTGATGATGAGTTTAATGGTATGGTTGATGATAAAAGTAAGAGATTTAAACAAAATTTGGGTAAAAAATAAAATGAAAAATCAGGGTAAAGGTATCGGTACTGAAAGAACAGTACCGATTCTATAGGGTTAAATTCGAGGAGAAAGAATGAACAATATCGATACTGATGCAAGTAGTATCGATACTACGGATTCAAGAATGTAAAAATGGTATCGATACTGAAAAGAGTATCGGTACCATAGTAGAGAAGAATCGGTACCATAGGAGGGGTACTGATACTATTTAGTCAGAAACTTAAAGTTAGGATGAATTTTAATAAAATTCAAAATTTAATAGTACCTTTGAGTATTAGTAATTTAGATAAATGTTAGTAAGTATACTAACATCATATTTGTATGTGTGACTATGGATGCTTGTGTAGATCGAAATCAAGCTCTCGAGTCAAGCAAAAAGAAAGGCAAGGATAAATTCGTAGAGTAGTCAGACTACATCGGTGTATAATAGTGAGGAAAATCAGGTGAGTGCAATTATTATGTACATTGAGAGTTGTAATTGCATGTTGGTTAATGTATATGTTGCATTTTTATGTATCAACACTAAGTGTGCAACCCACGTAATTCATAATAAGTTTCTGAATGACCGTATCGGTACTAAGTGTACAACCCACATAATTCATGATAAGTTTATGAACGACTGTATCGACACTAAGTGTGTAACCCACGAAATTCATAATAAGTTTATGAATGATCGTAGCGGCACTAAGTGTGCAACCCACGTAATTCATAATAAATTTATGAACGACTGTATCAGCACTAAGTGTGCAACCCACATAAATCATAATAAGTTTATGAATGACCGTATTGACAATAAGTATGCAACCCACAGAATTCATAATAAGTTTATGAACGACCGTATCGACACTAAGTGCGCAACCCACGAAATTCATAATAAGTTTATGAATGACCGTATCGGTTCTAAGTGTGCAACCCACGAAATTCATAATAAGTTTATGAA